GTGAAATTTAATTTTCGTAAAACTCTGAAAAATAAAGAGATCCGATCAAACTGAATGTGGTTTTCGTATAGGTACATGAATGTCTTACAACACACGAGAAACGAGCGAAATCCGTGTCTCAAGTAAAATCGACCGGACCGCTCTTACAGAGACACTCTCTTAAATATCACCATAATCACACAAATTACTTTTTAAGCTGGAACTTATATTAGTCAAGCGCTACATTACTTTATTATCTCAGTAAATTACTTTTTTAAGTTTTTAGCCCAAACAAACACAGCTTACATGTCAGCATAATTTCATTATTATTATTATTATTTCTGTCGAATTTTAAACTTTAAAGTGAAAGCTAGCTAAAATAATACAAAGCTACCACTATTATGATTTAACATTTAAACTCCCAAATACTCCATTAGAAATTTTAATAAAGTGATGAACGACTACTCGATATCCACTGCGTTGTAAACACCATTCTGCTTGCTGTTTAATTGTTATTGTATGGAGAAATTACTTCTTTGTTATTCCTGGGTATGAAAAAGTTTAAAAAGGGAGACGTGTTACGGCTTTTTAATTCTTTTTTTTTTAATTTTTAACTCCTAATTTTCAAGTGAATTGGTTACGAGTATTTGTTGTTTTATCAAGACAGCGCCTTCCAACAATAGTTAATAATTTATTAATGATAGAAATTTATCAAAATGGCTTTTAGGGCTGCGCGTTGAATTACAAAGAAAATAGTGAACCGAATGTTACTAGGATAGAGCGAAGTGGTACGATGAACACGAATTTCAGCAGAAGGTTCCTAGGTTGTGAACCATATTTTTTAACGTGGCTAAGTAAATACCTTTCAATAGTTCATTCCAAAGATCTACAAGCCTTTACGACTTCCAAGTATTTTTTTTGCTAAGTTTGGCTCAAAGAATATAGATCTCACGTCAAGACAGCAGTCGGCTTGACGATGTATTGATTCTGCCAGAGGAAATTACTTATAGAATAATTTTTCTGTAGCAAGCTGGGTCATTATCAAGTTCATATTTAACACGAGTCCCACAAACTGATGGAAACCACTATGTCAAAAGCTCCGTGTGAGTTGAGAGAATGAAAAAGGTGATAAATTTTCAGCGTAATAATGAAACAGAGAAAAGTGGGTAAGCGTGGGTCCAAGAACAACTCACGAGGAGGTGAGAAATTACTTTTTGGTTTTTTACGAAATGAAATAGTTAAAGATTGCTCTCTGCATCTGCTTTATCATCTAGCAGCTGGAGTTCTCTAAAAGTCGCTCTTGTAGTGGGGAGACTTTCCTTGCGGCTTGAAGGAATCAAGTGACTTGAGCGCGGACCCCGCAGTGTCCCTCGAATAAACGTCCTTAGTCTGGAGGAACTTGTAAATGAGACCCGCATGGAAAATATTCTTCGATGCCCACTGCTCTCATCCCTGTCTTGGGAACCTCTCATAAATTCTTTACAGCTGGTGCACCGGGTCTGCAAGGTCCCAAATATGAAAGGGTTCATACAGCTGTTGGCGTACACCAAGATATTTGTAAAAACCAACAGGTCGTAAAAGTGCTCGAAGTTTGAACCGCTCCCAAAGTCATTCCAGATCCACATCACGTGATTTGGCAGCATGCATACTGCGAACGCAACGACCGCTGCCACAAAGATTTTCACAATGCGCAAGTTGCGGTGTGCACGCGTTTTGAGCACTTGTCGCCCAGTCATACCACCCTCTGTATCAGCCATAACAACCTGAAGAGTCTTAATGTCCTTGTAAAGCCTTCTCCCAATTTGTACATAAGCAACAGTTATGCCAAAAAGTGGACAAACGTATAACACGATAAAAACAGACTTGGTGTATGCTTTGACGTAGCTCACACCAGGCCAGTTCTCTATACAGCTTCCTGAATTGAAACCCAGTACGTAAATATAGGGAGACACGAGTAATGCACTTCCGACCCATATGATGCAAATAATGCAGACAGGCTTCCTTCCCTTCATCCGGGGCTTCAGCGGGTGAAGTATGGCTCGATGTCGTTCTAAGCTCATCGCCAGTAGTGTCGCTACAGACACAGACATTAGAACCGTCTGAAGAGGATACACCAACTTACAAAGGAACGGGCCATATGGCCAATAACCGGCTAATCGCTCGATAATATCCAATGGAATGCTAACAATACTGGTTAATAAATCAGTTATTGCTAGGTTGAGAATAAAATACTCACTTGTCTTTCTCTTTCTGCGACTGAGGATTGCCAGGCATATTAACGCATTTCCGATGGAGCCTACAGCGATTATAACGGAGTAGAAAAACAGCTGCAATACCCGCACAAACTGAAAATCAGAAGCACCAAGGCCGGTTGAATTATTTTGTGAAATATTTCTAAGTATTGACCAGTTAGACATGATAAGTTATCAATCATCGGATTGAGTTTCCGCTTTGCAGATAAACGATGGTAAATTAAAAGTTAGATCATTCGAAGAGCTGTCTTATCCACGGTGTAACAGTTAAGAAGCAAACTCGTCATTGAGAATTTCACTCCTTCCATTTTCCTTTTACCTGCTAAAAGAAAGAATACAATTATTAATTAATTACAAGAAAATCGCACCGTTTGGCACAAACTACTTTGCATATAAGAGTGATTCACGAGATAAAAGAGACAAAATCCGTTGAGGCGTACTAATTATACCTTAACATCACTATGTGGTACATACCCACGGTCATTTCGTACCCAAATGCAGTCGATTTGTGCCCAAGTTTGTGTCGGTTCGTAACCAAGTTTGAGTCCGTTTGTACCCAAGTTTGAGTCGGTTTTGTACCCAAGTTTGAGCGCGACCGGTAAACAAAGTATCAATATGAGTGAAGAAGTTTAGCCCACAGTATATCTCAAAAACATTTTTAGCTGTTTTAAGTTTGGATCACCCACATAGTTAATGGCATTGTCACCCTCATATTGGTTCGTTTTCACCCCAAGGTCACCTTCTCATGCCATTAACTATGTGGGTGATCCAAACTTAATAAAGCTAACATTGTTTTTTTACATATATAGTTAGGCTTAACCCCACACTTACATCGATTCGTTTACACCCTAAGGTCACCTTCTAAGACGATGCCATTAACCCAGTATGTGGATGATCCAAACTTAATACAGCTACAACTGTTTTCGAGATAAGTTGTAGGCTTAACTTATTTACTCACATTAATTCTTTGTCCTGAAAAAAAACTGAGTTTTTCAAAGCTCTCTTCAATTTAACTGAACTTCAAAACGCCAGCTTTGAGTTAAAGTGTGAACGGTACAAGAGAGTAGTTAGTCGTAACTATTGAACATATTATCATTGCTACTTAAACAGCAAGATTGAAATGTTACGGGCATATTCTTCACTGAGCTCAAAATATTTCATCCTAATATTTTTTCAATCCTTTCCGTAAACTTTTCTCACCTGAATGTGGAAGTGTGTCAAACTGCGTGATAGAAAAAACCAGTCTGCAATTTTATAGAAAACTATCCAGTATTGTTTATTGAAAAAGATTGTCAAAAAAAAAAAAACTCTTAAAATTGGTTATATTGACCTCAGTAAGAGCGACATCTTTTACAATTAAATGAATGTCAAAAAGATCTGCTACGCTGCTTTGAACACAGTTATTTTTTGATCAAATATAAGCAAAACCCAAAGCGTTTAACCCTGATCATTTATTCGCCGCAAATGGAAAAGCGAGATAAAAAAGTTGTATTCATTAATCTGACAGCATTGATCTTCGACAACAATACTACATACAAAAAACGGGTTTGACTTATATAGTACCTCGGTCTTGATTTTCGTTATAAGCTCCTTGTATTAGAAGCAGCCAAAAAGCGAAAATTATCTTTTAATGTTCAGTACTGTGGCTCGTGTCCTATCCAAACAACTCTTTTATTTGCATTGCAAATGCGTCTTTATATACTTTCACAAAACCAAAAACCAATTGAAAACACATGCTTTTATAATGGCCACAAAATTGATCTCTAAGACAAAACAGAAGAAAAAAATTGCTATATGGAAATATATTTCAAAAATAGATATAGATTAAAAATCTATATTGAAAATCTAAACTGACCAGTTTCTTGAAGTAAGACTTGTCAGAATTTCTCTTGTTTTTTTTTTTAAAATCATAATACTTTTAAATGTTCCTGAAAGCTTAATAGGCAGCCTTTCGGTTAGATAAAGCTTAGTATGTTAATTTGACTTCAATAAGAGATAATGTGTCGTTAAAGTTGAACAATGCTTTTGTTCCGTACACTAAACATTGCGATATAATCGTTTTTGTTGTATTTCAAAGATGTGGCTTAGAATGAAGCTCTATAAAGTAAACTATCAATCTTTGCTGTAGTCTCTTGGAATGACCACCAGTTCCTCTGTAAGATAGCAGCACCGAAAAAAAAGTCACTTTGACTATTCAGACAACGTATAAACCTTCCTCATCGATCGATTCGCTTCGAAGCAAGGTTAAGTGTGTACGTGCTATCTTGGCAAAAATCCCCTTGAGAAGATAGCAATGTTATAAATGAATAATTTTGACTTTGGGGGTAGGTACAACATACATTAATGCACGGTTTTCCTCCTTAGCACCTCCCTCCCCCGCTCTCTTCTTTACTCCGGCTCTCGCCACTGCCTGACGATATTAGCAAACAACATCGCATCGACTGTTTGATAAAAGTGGGAGTTTAAGTCTTGTCGCCGCTTAAAATAGTAAAAACTTGTTTTTCTATTTAAAAAATACCACGTAGCGGTAAAACAGCTGTTCTTGTGGCCAAAATTATGAATATTGATAGCTAGTATAGGTTGATAATAAGAGAAAATATTAATTTTTTTTCGCGGAAGATAAAGTCTTCTCTACGAATCATGTATCCAGGAAGTCTTTCCTCTTCCACCAAGCATAACTGTCCTTACCCAGTCAAAATGGTACACAGAGGAACAAATTTTATATCTCCTTACGATCATTCCGCAGATCATATAACAAAATTTGACTGACTGAGCGGCTCAGAAGAACGCAAAAGAGGGTGTTGCTAAAGAAGACGGGAAAAGCCTCCTTGACAACTGAAGCTGTGAAATTGAAACATCAATAAGACAGCCTCTCTTACGGTTCTAATTATAACACCCTTCATAAAATATTATGAACAATTAATAGGCAATGACAATCAACCAATTACAAACTTAATACCTCATTAGGACCCTATTAACCAGACTTTGCATATGATACGATATTGGGCCTTTGAACGAACTGTCCGCTTGTCTCCAGTGTTTATGTTCACATCGTCGTACCATCATACAGTCGCGTTCGAAGAGAACAGTCCTCCATGAAAATTCAATCACATGATCAAATGTTCCTCCTCGACTGAAAACATGCACTTAATATGTTTTCGACTGTTACTGCGAGAAAAACTATCCTCTTGCGCCCAAAGCAAAACGAATATTCAACGGCGTCCTCGTTGAAATGTTTACTCCACAGGCAAATCAATGAAACACTGTGCATCAGACAAAACAACCAGGGTCGGCGGAAATTACCGCTCGTTTTTGTTTTTGTTTCCTTATTTTACCGATGGATAAGAAATTATATACCACGATCGTTATAGACCTAATGAGGGTTATTTAATAGCGCATACTTGTAAAATGAATGTTCAGTTTTTTTTTATGAAAGAGAAAAGAACGAACACGCATCGAATGATGAATAACATCCCAGTATACTTTTCAATATGAAACATTTACACTGGCCTAGATATGCCTTACTTTTTGCACAAATCATAATCACCTATACGTCAAAAGTGATTTACATTCAGCGAAACATGGAGCTATAAATAATTTTTATGAATTCTAATCATTTAAATTTTCTGTTCTCGTATTACTCTAGTTAATGCAGGAGGAAATTTCCGTCTTTAGAAAAGTTATTGAATCTAAAAAAAAGAATTGTTGAATTTGAGACAGAGTGTTTAATTTCTTCACAGTCAAGTAAGCATACATGTAAGATACAAGAATGTTATTCACTTTGTATTAATTTTGCTTTAGTAGTTTTAAACTGTCCGTGTACTTTTTTTTTTAATTTCTTATAATAAATTTTTCTGATATTTGCAATACAATACAAAAACCGCATATATCTATTGAATTAGTTTAAGAAATGGACTTCTAATAATACCTGACTGAGACCAACCTCGGCTTTTTGCCTTATTTCAGATTGATATCATCTATTTAGAGGGCCTAGCATCCAATAGAAAAAATCATTGACTCAACCCAATCGTTTAAGGAAGATTAAAAGTTTCTTAAAAACCAATGAGTTTTTTTTTAGAGAACTGCTTCTTTGCGCTTCAACGCCTTAATTTCTCAAAATAACTGGAAGTAGCTTACACAAGCCAGTTTCTAAAGTACGTCAGTTAGTGGCGAGACTAATCTGATCCGTGGCAGAAAAATCCTATATTGATCCCTAACTGATATCAAACTTCTATTCTGAGGGGAGGTGTTCAGCTGCTAAATTAATAATGGCATTCTTCATGTTATTGTGAGTAAAATGCAGTCAGCTTTCATTTAGGAACCTCCTCAGTTACAGATTACCGCACGCTGCAACGGTCATCAACTTTAAGTTATTGTATAAATACTGAAACACCTACAGAGAGGAAAGAGTTCCGTTGGCTACCTTACAATTTTGGTGCAGTTACTTCCTCGTTTGGAGGAAGTACGCGACTGTAAACTTTTAGAAGCGAGTTTCGTCCCTTTTGCCCACGTTTAACGCAAGTCGAGGCAATTTAGTACGCTAAACTTTGGATTCCCTACCAATAAATTGAAAAGCTATATGTCCCAAAAATGCTTCTATCGAAATTATCTTAAATGCAAAAGTGACAAATGAAAAATTTACAACACTTACGCCTTAAGACTCGAAATAGTAACGAAGGTACTCTTAGAAATAAAGACTCGTGAACGATTTTTAATTTGAGAAAAAAACCTGATAGAAAAATTCTTGTTTTGCTCTTTACAAGTGCGTTTTACTCGCGAGAAGCAATGCTTTTGTAACTGATTGGAATTACCTGACTCAATTAATTTTATCGCTCCCGTTCGAGAACAGAAGGCCGAGCTCTAAGCAATTACCCAAAACACCCACTTTTTCTTCCACAACAAGCTAAGAGCTTAAAACGCCATATACACAGCTGCTACTGTTTTCGCTTTCGTCGTATTTTAGTGCGTTGCTCATAAATTTTCCTATCTGTTCACCTCCAGCTGTGCTAAGAGGAGAGAAATCCATTCTTTTTCTTTGGCAAACCACAGCAATAAACTCAATGGGTTAAGGACTCCTACTTTTGTCTTTCAATCGATTCAAATGAGGACCGCATATGAATAAACAAACGAACTCGACGGCGTTGGTGGTTTTCGATTATAATACGAAAAAAAGTAACTAGAAAATTTGAAAATGAGATAGACATTTTTTTTTTCAAAATCACCAAGATCCGTTTGATTTATTAATCAACAACAGCTATTTTCTCCGGTAACCGCCAACGATAAACTGATGATCAATTCCTGCGATAGATCACCTCTCGATTTGAAAAGTATTTTCCTAAATACATGTATTATATTATTCAGAGTTAAATTGAAATAGTACCTTTGATAAACGCTCAAGCCTGATCAATGCCTCACCTCTTCTCTGGTCTTCTGCTTGCCTCTGTTCGTTTTTGATGTGGATAAAATTTGCGAGGCTCTATGAAATGTTGCTCGTAGATATTGATTTTGAACTGTTTCCGGCAGCTTTCTTAAATTTTAATTTACCACGGGTCGTAAATTAACTTCATGAAGTAGATTACCTTCGAACTTCCCCTCCGACCAAAGGGTATTTGGAAGATACGGTTTATTTTTCGATGCGAGACGAAAAAAAAAAAGGAAAAAACAAAAAAAGGAGGTGACTAAGCACAGGACCTGAGACAAAGGCTTTCGACGCGGGACAAAAATTTTAAAAAGGGCTTAACACAGACTTTGAAACCGTAAATGCAAAAATTGACAGGGTTGTCCAAATCTATCATTAATTTTATGGCGCAATCTTCCACACAAAATTTTTAAATGATTGATTTTTTTAGGGTATTACGATGTTGTAAACATTAACAAAAGTCAACACCGTCTTTAGGAATTGGTTTTATTGCGTCGGCTTACATGAATTGAAAAGTTCAACTGATGTTGTCAAAACTTCCATTCTACTCCAGTGAGATGAAGGTGAGTATTTTCTGCATATTGATTGTTCTTTTTATTATTCGCAAATAAGAGGGAATTAATTTTTCTTCACCTTCTTTCGTTTACTCTTTAGCAGCGGGGGACACATTCACAATCGGTAATTTCTATTCACTTGGTAAACACGCGAGGACAAAACTCACCGATTTAAATATTTAGTTCTTAGGGTGTTACGAAGCCGACAGTCTTTAAAAGGAAAATCTCATATTTGTTAAAAAAAAAAAAAAAAAGGTGTTGAAATTATGTCGCAGTTACTTACCTCTTTTGCATGGATTTTTCTTGTCTGAAATGTATCAAAGCTCTGAATTTTGGTGCGTTTAATGCCAAAGCCCTGCAAAAACGCGTTGAAATGTTGGTGGCACTTGAATTTATTTCGGTATCTTGATTGAGAGAGGAAATGCGATAGCACCGCCTCCAAGCGTTTACGTGAAGGATAATTTGCTTTCTACTCACACGATCGATTCGCCTCAGGCTTTAAAGCGAAAACGGAAGCAAAAATAAAATCAGTTTTGTGCATATCTGATATTTTTAGAGTAACCCCTGCAAAATAGATGTTGCAGAGAGCTTTATCAGCTCGTAAAGAAATACAATATTTCGAATTTACCTTAGTCCGTACACAAAGAGATTGTATATAATTATTCATGACGAACAAGTCGTTAAGAAGATTACATTTTACAGTTGTCCATCTGTAAACCAAAGATCTTACTCATGTATAGCTTGCAATCATTTCAAATAGAAGAACAGAAGAAGTTTTGGGTTTCGTTCACATCTACAGTAAAGAGTTTCTTCTGAAAAAAGAAACTGCGACTTGTCGTGAGAGATTCCGGAATGATCGGGTCAGCCTTCGATTCAGATTCTTTTGCAAAAGATTTTTTGAAGTGCTATTAAGTTAATTTCACACATAAGGTTTCGAGAAAATAAATCCAAAATGATGTTTAAATATGCAATACCTTGTAGGATTTTTTTAAGCCGATTTTGAATAACATCGGAATCAAAATTAAAAGCTTGGTTCACCAAGTTGAACCCCAAAAGATTGTAAAAACACGTTTATCTGCTTTGGTTATTCAGTGAGAATAAACAAATTTATGCGACATGGTTGAGGTAAAAAAAAACTTTTTAAATGAATGAACGATTTCCTTTGCCTTTCCATTTAATAAGATGAATGAAATTATCTTGATAAAGTATGATATGGGTGTCAAAGTTGACATGTGATGTAACTGTTTACTTTTTGTTCACTTTTTTTTCCTTTGTTTTTTCCTTCATCCGTTTTCAAATTGTTGGTTTTGTTTTTATGATTTTCAAAAGTTTTCCATCAAAAAAGGAAAACGAAGTTATCGCTCGTGAAATTACAAACTATCATGATGTGCATCTTGGATGAAAATGTATCGGTTCATCTTACATGTAGTTTTTTATCAGCATATTTACCTTTGAAGGACTTACCTTGTGAGAGTGCCTCTAAAATCGTATTTATTTTTGCACATAATTTAGAAAGTCGATGTCTAGTTGAGTAGTATTTGATTTATAACTGATTATAAGCTAAATTTCAATCAGGTCGAATAAACTCGTGTTCAGTTTGTTGTCAAGCAAATCAAAAGCTGGAAATCTTTCCAGATAATCTTTCACTCGCTTACTCATTTTATCGATGGAGTCTGTGAAGAAAAAACACGTAAAGTAATAGGTTTCTGTGATACAACTTACGGGAAACGAGACTTATATGTAATCTTGAAATCCTTCCTATCTTTATTTCTGTTAGCTTTTTGGTTGTTTTTGGGTTTTTTTTTTTTTTTTTTTTTGCGATGTCATTCCAAATTTTTTTCTTAGTGAACGCGAAAGTGACACCTCAATTAGTTATAGATTTCGCAACATAGTCGTGAATAAATTTGATCGCTTCAGAGAACTGAAACAAGAGTCGGTATCCCTGAGAGATTTTAGGTAATTGCACATTGCGAGGATCGAATTAATAGAAAAAATAAGCTATAGATTCGGTATCCCTGAGAGAATTTAGGTAATTGCACATTGCGAGGATCGAATTAATAGAAAAAATAAGCTATAGATTTCGCAACATAGTCGTGAACAAATTTGATCGCTTCAAAGAACTGAAACAAGAGTCGATATTCCTGAGAGATTTTAATTAACTGTGCATTGCGTGATCAAAGAAAAGTAGAAAAGGTAGGAAAAGGTTGCATTTGAAGAAAATAATACATTCGAATTTGAAATCCAAAAGAAAAGTTGAACTCAAATCTTCAGAAAAATTTTAAAGTTTACCTTTTTTTGAAAAAAAGTAGTCGTACGTTGAATCACAAAAACAGCTGGTGGCAAATGCAATACTCAATATCTTTTCTCTCACGGAATAACAACTTTAAGGGGAGCAGCAGCATTTCTTCATTGCATTGCATGTACCTATATTTTTTCTTTAAAACTAACTATTAAAGGAGCCACTTACTCGAGCTATTCAATCTTACATATCGTGGAAGTTTCGCGCTTAGGGTAAAATGACTGTTGCATGACGTAATTAATGTCTTCATTAGCATAACTTTAGCTTAATGCTAGGCACGAACTTAAGGTGAATATCTTCAATAGCAAACTAGATATAGCCTCAGCATACAAATAAGCACGAAGATACCTCACGATAGCTTTTTGTCATAAAACCAAAAAGCTTCTTGCTGACATTTGGAAAACGCCTATCCAGGAACAGAATAGAAATATTCTTAGGCGATTTTAAAAAAGGAAACCAATCTGATAGAGCGCTGAAATGTAATCAAACAAGCGATTTCCATATTTTTTCTTTAAAGAATTCTTTTTTTTAACCTTTTAAACTTAGAGATTTTTATATGAAAGATGTTGTTATTGAACAAACGAGTAATATTGGTTGCACTCTGAGCCCTTTTTCTTCGACTATTTAATTGTAGTGAGCTGTGTTTTCAGATTATTAAATTACAAACATATCAATAAGTACATGTATTTTTTTAAAACAGTTAGACTCTACAAAGAAATTTTTGGCAGGTGCTGCAATGAGGTCGTTCGAACGTTATTACGTAATTGTATATATAAGTGACGAGTGTATCATCTGGACCACTTGGGTAGTTGACGGAAGAGAATCTTTCTGTTAGTGGAAAATGCCATTTTGTGAATGAGAAGTAAAGGAAAATGTTGATCATATTCTGAACTGATGGAAAAATATGAAGAAAATTGAACTGGCTAGGGAAAGAGGGTAAAAAAATCGTAGGGAAAACGGAATAAATCAACCTATCAACTGGTGTGAATGGGGCAAAATTTAAAGAAAGCGCTTAATTGCGAAATACTTTGTATTGATTTTATTTCATTCATTGCTAATTCAAGCGGCTGGTATCCTGTTGGATAATGGTTTATACAGTAAACAATATAGATGTCAAGCCCCAATTTATAAATAGGACAAAACTAAGGAAAAAACTCTAAACGGTTTACTATTAAAGAACTTCATCGTTATTAACTACAAATCAGCTTGAGAAGGGTTGAGGCGCATGAAAATCTCATGATAAAGTTATATCATATTTGTTGCCTCGGTATAATTGATAATTATCCTCATCCGTGCACGATAACTCACTATTAAATATTTTGGTAGATATAACAGATATTCCAAACAGCTATTAATTTTATTTTGCTTATCTAAAATTTAGCTCATCAAGAAGCTTGGCGGTACACAGTACATCCTAATGTAGACCAAAAAACAAATGAAAAATATTAAATTGTTTTATCGCTAATACCAGCTTACTAATGTGATATTTCGATTTCAATAGGAAATTACGGCAAAGGAAAGGTTGATCGTTTGATAATTGTAATTGCGAGGAAATAAAAGAGATGTAGGAGTCAGCTGAGGTGAAACATTTCGGAAATAAAAGTTAACTTTTATTTATGCTCCCGCTCAGCTCAAGTGCACTTAAATTGAATTGCGTAACTTCTACATCTGCAGTCTATTTTGAGCTTAGAATTAAAGCTTGCAATGTTTGTTTACACATAATTTCTTGATCACAAAGATTTGAAAGCAAACAATAAGCTGTCATAAGCCTAAGCACGTTAAGAAATTATCACTAAAATTTATTTTACTGTCGTATCGCTTTTTAACCAAAATTCATAATTAATAACTGTCCTTTCAAAAACGTTCAAACAATTCTGAAATTGCGCGAATAGTATTTTTTTCCACAAAACCTTTCCATTTATTTTCCAGAAGCTTGAAAGGATGCTAATTTTGGAGACATATGCATGATACACGACAAGCATATTTTAAAGTGTTCCAATTGCGTCATACTAGAGTAAAATCTTTTAGGATAAGACGGAAGACGCCAACGTTTTGTTGAAATTCAACAAATTTGTGTCTTTGCGTCATAGTTAGTGCGTAATGATCGCAAGGAACACAGATGGGTTTGGACGGAACATTTGACAAGTTGCGCCAATTATTTTACGTTCGTTGAAAATTGATGTCAGATGAACCTTGAAAAAATAAGGAAAGCAATAATGATTGCTTGCCAAAGTATACAAACTTAAGTAATTAATTAATTAAGGATGATGAAGATAAAAATGAGTCTCAGATGATAAACTTGACAATTTTTTGCGGATTTGAATAAAGTGCAAGTTACCAGCCTTTAGTGTGGAGGACACCAAATAGAAATGTTTCTAACAAACGAGGATTTAAATATGTGGTAAGCTTGAAATAGCGAGTTTTAAAATGTGCAAAACTAGATTTAGCGCTAAGAAAACCAAAAATATGATTTTGGTAAGACGGAAAAAAAACAACATCGAAAAGAATTTGCCAAAAGTGAACGAGTATTGTTAAGGATGAAGAAGATTTAAAGGATTGGAAATAGCTAACTTAAAAAATTTTGGCAAATATAATAGATGCTCTTATCATAACAATAATGCCTCTTTAAAGCATATTTGAAAGACTGAGTCACGCCGCCTACTCTCACTGCTTGTAAATTAAGATTAAAAAGGTCATGACCAAATAATGATGATAAAAGCCGTTTGATGGCAGCCGAGGACTTTTTTAAGCGACTTAACGCGAGACTTACGACATGAATCAAATAGGCAGGAAATGAGAACAAACATCGACCTTGTCGTTTGATTTTAACGTTATTTGTTCAACCTTCACGCAAATGATAGACTGTAATACTATGCATTTACTGTCTCCATCCTGACTTTTCATGCAAAATTGTTGACGTTTCTTACGAATTGGAGATATTTTGCTAGTTTTTCAATTTCATCCTCTCTTGGTATCAATCAATCAGAACTAATTGGCTTTCATCCTCAGTGCTGTTATAAACGTCATTGCCAAAATAAAAGCTA